TTTATGGGTATCCACCGATGAAAATTGTACATAGTTTAAATTTATTTATTTAAATAGTTGAGTATTGTTTTTTTCTTAATTAATAGCATATTGTGCTTTTCCTTTTCTTATTTTCAGAAATTGATCTTGTAGAGTATTGAAATCAATTGTATGCTGTAATAATAATAATATAGAAGAAATACGGTAATAACGATCGCTCGCTCGCCTACCATCATGGGACGACAATTTATAAGAATATTACTTTTACTCGGCGTTGCTGTGACATTTGTTGAAAGAGTACCAGCGGAAATCACGTAAGTATAAAATTACACTGAAAAAAATACTTGTTTTGTTTCCTGAATCTGACAATGAGACCCACTACAGATATTGATATTTTGAACACATAATTTCACAATTTAATACAGACGTTTTGAGCCATGTCTGTAAAGACAATAATTCTAAATTCAAAACCAACGTATCAGTAAATAAGCGTGTTACTTTTGTGTTTAACCCCCTTACATTCTGATAGCAAATGGTAAATAGGTTATTTAGTTTTTTAATGCTGGTTCAGATCTCTGAGGTAAATGAGCTAAATTATCTGATCTTTCTAGAAATTCTTTAAAAAACGCTCTAGCAGGCCAAAAATCTTTCGATATCAAACTTGGAAATATATCATCATGAACCAATATATTAAATGATGATCTACTTTCAGAGTATGCCGATCGATATGGTTTGATATAGTAATTTATATAATCAGACGAGGTATCAAGCACAAACCTAGACACAAAGGTCATTTTCATTACAGGGTCCATTGATAATGGTTTTTGGGTAGAGAGTGGGGAATTGTCAGCAACAATCCCAGAAGACGCAGCAGATAAAGGAACTGATAACTCCTGTGCACTATGAGTAGATTTGTTATCAATACTCATAGCGTTATGAGGTATTGTCACTTTCATTATATCCTTCCTTGCTTCCTTGGTTGCATGAGATGCGACACTGCCATAAGTCTGATCATTAACAGCATCAGTTTTATCAATATTATCTGACGCTGTTAGTGACGCAGTATTCCCAGCAGAAACAGAGGCTTTACGAATAGGCATCGTTTTAGTTTATGCTTTCTTCGTATACTTATTCCGTTTCTGCCCAGAAATAGACGGCGACGATACAAATTCATCGAGTTCCTGGTACTTATCCACGCCATAATTACAAAAGGTAGTCTCATTTGAGAATTTTATGATGACAACGCTTTATAATTTGGAACTCATTGGCATATTTTCAATATATTAAACAAAATATATTTTCTATATATATTTATATATAAATATAAATTATTTAGTAATTCGCGTTACTGAACACATGATATGCGTACATTTCGAAGGAAGATATTTTCATTTAAATTTTGAAGCTGAATACTGCCAATGGCAAATTTATGAAAAAATTGGAAACATATGACTGCATGCAACTACCTTGTATAATTATGCCATGTGTTTAATAATAATGAAATTAATATTAAGTTCACAAAACAATCAATTTGCTTGAGAACAATTTGTTGTTTGTTTACAAAACGTAATAAAACAGCTGATTAAATATCAGCTGATGGTACAAGAAAATTCTTACTGAGTAAATTTTTCCTTGTAAGAATTTCCAAATACTAAGTAAAACAACTGTGAAATGTGCTCTCTCAATTCACTCTCTTTTACTGGATTTTTGGGTAAACGAACAACATTTTGTAATAAATTGTACAAATTATTGAGTAAACGAACGAACCTAATTTAAATCCACGGGGTTTTATTAAATCCAGTATAATGTCAACGTACAATAACTGTCAATTCACACCCAGTTGATGAAATGGTATTGCATTGCTATTTTCCTTTAAGTGTACACTAATTATGCTGACTGCACTCTAATGGAAACATGCCTCCCAGCTAATGGATAGATGTCTATTTACAAATCCATATTTATGAATGCACTTTATAATGGACTGAATGAAAATTGTTTTCTTTTTTGTCAGAATTTTATTGAAGAATTTTCCATTTAAACATGCAAGCACACATGCACACTGACACAACTCCTCTATGATGGGTGGCGTTATTATTTTTCATTACATCATAGCGCCATTTCCGTACTTTGACTAAAAATATATAACGGACTAGATCCACCAGCATCATCGTCGCCATCATCATCATGCCATTGATATATTTATTTACATAATTATTTGTATAAACTATTTTGTTCCTTATTACCATATGGAGTCGTAGGAATCGAAAGGGCATGCTTATTAAAAATCATCAAAGAGAGGAAAAGACAGATGGACGGACGAACAGACAGACAGAGGCATTGAAGATCAAATGCCATTGCATTGTTATTTGTGTACACATGACTAGAAAAAGAAAAACAAATAGAACATCTTTTGTTGTTGGGAGGGTTGGCGATAGCCACTAATAAAACAAAATGCAACAAATAAAAGTTTTAGTCTCTGCTGGTAGGGAAATGTGTGTTTATAGTTGGTGCTCCTTCTTCTATCAATAGTAATTCGTTGTTCGTTCTTCATAAAAATTTATCATATATTTTATGATCGCTTCCATCATGGGATGGAAGTTGTTGAATTTTTTTGTAGCACACCATTTTGATGCACTCATATAAATCATCTCCGAAGGTATACAGGATGGGAGCCATTTCTTAAATGACAATTTTGATCATGTTTTACAACGAAGTGTTGACATGTTAATGGCTTTCGCTATTAGGAAAATGTAATTAAGAGCATAATAATGGGAGGAGGTATTGAAATAATGCAGGGTGGGCAAATTATATATTTTACTGGAGAAATTTATATAATGAAGTCAAGAATTAATTTTTGGGGACCTTAGTGGGAAATAGTAGAATATAATAGGTTCGTTCGTTTACTCAATAATTATAATCATTACAAAATGTTGTTCGTTTATCCAAAAGTTCAGTAAAAGGGAGTGAATTGAGAGAGAGAGAGAGAGAGAGAGAGAGAGAGAGAGAGCAAATTCTTCTTCTTCCGAATTTAAAGTGACATGATACACTAAGTCTATGTTGCCACTTTCGCGGGTATAATATTATTTCTGGGATATTCTTGTAGATTAGCTTTTTCGTTTGTTTTTAGATTTTGAAGTCTGTTTCTTTGTCCATAAAAAGTAGTTGGTTTTTATTCTGTTTTTCTCCAGTATAATATCGATTGTTGGTTGTGGTATGTCTAGAATATGTAATTTTTGAAGTAATGAAAGTCTGGTGGCCCATAGTTTGTATGGCTCCACAGCCACGCCTGTCTGAGCTGGTAATGTTGATCTTGTGAAGATGATGTCGCATTTGATCTTGAAATGGTTGTGACTACTTCTCGGTGTATTTTTATGTTTTGGAACCAAGGAAGCACAAGTTTCCGCAGTATATATGGAGCATATTTTATTCAAGATACTTCAAAGCGAAAGTACCCATAAGACGTAGCTGGTTTTATCTAGAGGTTTTGATCCGTCCGTAAATACCCTTGTGAAGTCTTCGAGTTTTGTTTTATTGTGTCATTGTATAAGTCAATAATCAGTTGAAGGCGATCGATTTTTACGGATGTCAAGGTATGTAATTTTAAGAATTGATATGTGGGATTGAAGTGGATTTTCATATTGAATGGATCGGAAAAGTTTTATCAAATTATATCTTGTTTGTTTTTTATGATAAAGTTGGAAAAGAGTAGGTCTGGTTTGAAATTGCAAATTCTTACAAGGAAAAATTTACTTGTACCATCAGCTGATATTTGATCATCAGCTGATATTTGTTCTCAAGCAAATTGCTTGTTTTGTGAATTTTGTATCATTAAGCATTAAAATGGATGAAGAAAACGAAAGCATTTATAACAAGTGAAAAAGCGTTAAACTGACAGGTATATAGGGAACATACCAAAAAGTGTACCTATACAGACATTTCTACAAACCGGTTATGGTCCTACATATTGGTTCTAGACCCCAAGTTTCTTTGTACCAAATTTGTTTCAAAAAATTTTGATTTCATCCACATTTTGCCCATCTTATTATTTCTAACGAAATTAGTGCAGCGAATTCTGTTGAAAAACGCGCTCAAGAACCCCCAAAATACCGAAATTTGGGGGTACCCTTATATGAGGGCTATGCGAAAAAATGGACCTATATTTATAATATTTTTGTGGAGAGGTTTGGTACCTACTAAGAACTCAAAATATTAAATTACAGCCAATTCGGTGAAAAAATACGATCAAAACCCCCACAATACTGGCAATTAGGAGGTACCGTTATATGGGGGCTAACAGAAAAAGTGGACATACATTTATAATTTTTTGTGGAGACATTTAGTACCCAATAAGAACTCAATGTACCAAATTTCAGCGTATTCGGTTGAAAAACGCGCTCTAAAATCCCAAAATACCGAAAATTGGGGGTACCCTTATATGGGAGCTATCCGAAAAAATGGACCTATACTTACTTTTTTGTGGAGCGATTTGAAACCTATTACGAACTCAAAATACTAAATTATAGCCAATTTTGTGCAAAAATACGATCAAAAACCACAAAATACAGAAAATTAGCACCCTATCACAATTCCTTCAGAAGATAGCGTGATTACAACAGACGGACGGACATGGCTAGATCGTCTTAGAATTTTACCCTGATCAAGAATATATATACTTTATAGGATCGGAAACGAATATTTCGATGAGTTACAAACGGAATGACAAAATTAATATGCCCTCCATACTATGATGGAGGGTATAAAAATTGAGTAATGTAAGAGAAAATGGCGAACAATTATTTTAGGTTCCAAATCCAAACAAAAAACTTCATTCAACATTAATTTATTTCCAAATAAATTAAAAAATTCGTATTTCCTCTCTGCAAATTTTAACTGAGTAAATGTCACTGGGAAAGCAAACGAACATATTTTTTTCAATATTCATGCAACAAACAAATTTATACATGACACTGGGATATTCAAATTCTTGAATTTCAAAAATATATTTCTTATTTATATTTTTATAGCATGGGAGATATTCGTGGTACGCTACAGTCCCTGATCTATTCATACAATCAATTGGATAATAAATTGGAAAGACATGAACATCGAGAGCGAGCCTTGGGAGAATTATTGAAAAAGGGCATGATGCAGTTACAGAAGGGACAAAACAATTTACAACCACTTAATGGTATATTTTCACGTTTGGATGAGAGGGTTAGCCAAATAGAAACTTTATTAATAGCGGTAAGTGAAAGAAATTTGATATTCGAATATAACATTAATATTCAATTCCTTTGACAGCAAGAAGAAAAATACAATATACAAACGGAAAAAATGAGTGAAGCATTGCAGCGCATATTCAAATGGATGCAAGATAATGATGAATGCTATAAACGTCCACCGGTAATGCCGGTTGCTGTGACACCAGCACCACCAGTCGCCCCCAAGCCAGAACCATCCCTGGCCCCAGCCTTTGTTAAGGCACAAGAAGAATTCAATAAGAAAATGACAACTGACATGGAGAAATTATCATCGAATGTTGCCAAACTTTTAGATCTTTCGCAGAATGTTATGGAACAAACCGAAGTGGTATTCAAGAGCAGTCCCGCCACACAAGATATGCTTTCGAAAATTGAAGATCATTTGGTTAGCTATAGTGTTGCGACACCAGCACCACCGCCACCACCACCTGCTCAAATTATTGTTCAAGCACCAAATAATACAGAATTTGAAAATAAAATTTTCAATATGTTAGAGGGTGTCCACACGGGTTTAACGGAACTCAAGGAAATGCCTAAATCTGCGGAAGGACTTACAGCCGGCGATCGGGAATTCATACACACATTGAACAATGAAACTCTCACTGTTTTGGAAAATATCAAAGCCACAACTTTGGGAGTAAGCGATAAAGGTAAGTAAAATTATTGGAAAATGGAAAAATGAATTAATGGGACTTTGCAAAATAGAGTTAAATTTGGTGACGTATACTTACACTAATCGTCGAATTTTGTAAAATCAACATCGTGGCCAATTTATAGCACCTTCGCTTGAAACCTCCAAAATGTTGAGTTAAAAATAAGCATACAACCATTTATAATATTCAAAATCGTCATAGAATAAGTATTGTGTAGATATTTTTCATAAAAAAATAGTTAATACTTATATTTTTGGCATGGGATAATTATAGAATGTAGTATCATGCAGTCATATGCCAATCGACGTTCATAGAATTTTATGGAATTTATTTTTCAAATTATTTAAAATTGATAGATGAATTCCAAATTAAAAAGGGTTGCCATCGTCAAATTCTGAAATGATACTACATTCTGTAATTATAACGGCATTTACATTAGAACTTTTTGCCGGGTTAATTATGCATATATACAATGGAATACAATTTTTAACGGAGTCAGCTGCCTTAAAATTTATTAGCAAAAATTTCACACAAAATGTCATCACATTCTCCCACTCCCTGTAATGCAGAATAAAATTTTTTTCGCCAAAGCGGATTTTTTCTCTTTCCAAATTTATTCAGAATAAATTCATAATTTTGTAGAATATAAAAATATCGCATGCTACATAACCTCATAACAAAATCATTGTTTTATGTCATCTTAACACTCTAGATTTGAAAATACTATAGCATACTTTTAGGCGTCAGTTTATTGCAATAATGTAATCGAAAAAAACTAACATTATCCAATTTTTCTCTCTTTTTTCTCATTTCAGTAATAACAAAAACAACGGAAAACATACAACAAGCTCAAGATCACATCGATGCCAATATCAATCAAGTACAAATGAAAGTATTAGACTCATCCGCCCTGCTGCAGCAATTCTACAACGAAATGAATCGCAGCTTTACCAAATTCAATGAAGGTCTAGAAATTGTCGATAAATTTAATAACATCCTCATGACCAATTCCGAATATGTATTAGATACACAGCGCAAGGTGGAATTTGGTACTGTACAAATAATACAAAAAATCACCGATCATTTGGAAAAACAACGTGACGCGATCTTTGAGGCGTTCAAAGAACGTTTCGATAATGTTGATGAACTGATGATCAGCAATCAATTGGAAACAATGCAAAATTTCTCCGCCCTCATTGAATCGGAAATAACACAGGTATGGCATCAAATCTCCATAATGCATGAGGAAATTATGGATACCAAGGATATTCTGAAGACAATTGATGCACGCAATGAAGCGTCAGTGAACAGTACCTATAGCAGTGTTAATGCCATGGGCATCAAAGTGGAAGATGTTAAGTCGCGTATGCTCGATATGGATTCCAATTTGAATTATCTGCTGGGTAAACTTTCAATTATCTCACAAGAATTTATCAATATTAAACAAGGTTTGGGTGAGTCACTGGAAGATTTGCGCAAAACATTTGATGCCATCCAGGGTAAATTGCCCGAAATAACAGGGGTCAATTCGAATTTGGCTAAATATGAGACGGAATTGAAATTGCTACCAAAACGTAATATATTAAATTAAAATAAATTGATAAATGTTTACTTAATTTTATAATGAAACGAAATGAGATTTAATAGGAAGAAGAAAAAAAACACCCAACAAATAAATGTAATTAAAACAAATACGATATACTTATGTAGTCTATAACGAAGAAGAAACAAGAAAATATAATAATGATTAATTAGTTAATAGATTCTCGCCAGCAATATTTACTACTTACCAATGTCGCTTTTAATATACGTATATATGTATGTATGTATTTAAATGTACTCATGCCATGTTAAATGTGAATGAATATAAATAAATAAAAAAAACAATTTTAATAAACATTTTAAAATTTTTAATATTGCTTTTAGTGTAGGTATTCATTCAGCCTTATTCGGGATATCAATTCACAGTGAATTTGTTCGTTCTTCCCTTTAACGTTATTCTGAACCAGAACTCTCAGTGAATTTTTTCGCATTTTCACTTTTCCCCTTATTCTGAATCAAGTTCGAAAACGAAAAATTCCGCTTTGGGGGAAAATTAGTTATTCTGGATTACGGGAAGTGGGTGAATGTGATGACATTTTGGGCGAAAAATTTCGCCTATAAATTTAAAGGGAGCTGACTACAAAAATGTAAGTATTAAATATTTTTATGGGAAATATCTACTTATTCTACACACATATTTTCGTCCGATTTAATGCACGAAATGTGGCATAGCGTACTAAATTAAGTCTAGAAATCAGTTCAGATTTAGATAAATGTAAATGGTGCTCCAAAATCCCTAAATATCTTTCGATTTGCACGAAATTTCGTATAGCGTACTAAATTAAGACTAGAATGATATGGGTTAAGTTTCGTGAATATCGGTTCAGATTTAGATATAGCTCCCATATATATTTTCGTCCGATTTATGGTAAATGGCGAACCAAAGTCCCTGTATATCTTTCGATATGCACGAAATTTGGTATAGAGCACTGAATTAAGTCTAGAATGATGTGTGTTAAGTTTCCAGAATATCGTTTTTATCTTAATAAACATTCTTTATTATTGTTATTATTACATATGTACATAAGTTAATTCTTATTTTAAACTCTTGTTATTTTTTTAAATGGTAGAGTACATCAAATATAATTCCATTCATCTTCATCTTGTTTTATTTTACTTGGATGAGCTTATTTTTAAACGCAGTTCTTTTAACACAACATTGCTTACTTACTTTCAAAAATGTTTTTTGGATTTTTTTTTTCAATTATTTTAAATTGGCTAGAAATGTTAAATTTTGTTTTTCTTTAAGTAAACAAAATATTCAACTTAACAAAAGTTATTGACTAACAATTAACTCACAAATGCCAACTTATTGGTAAATATGTATAAATGTATGTAGAACCAAAACAAAGGGGAAAAATTATTACTTAAAAATAAATAGAAAATAACCTGGTGTGTTGTGTATTTAAATGTGGTGTATTAATTACAATGCTTATTACACATATATTTTATGGTGTAACTAAAAAAACAAACAATTAAATAATAAAACTCCAGCTTATAGCTAAAATTAAATGTTTCTAGTATGTAGGAAACTATTTACCCCATCTTTGTTCGCATCTTGAATATTTATAGAGTATTGTGGCAAATGATTCAACATTAAAATATTTACCACTTGGATAACGTTGAAATTCAGTGAACCTGGTATGCCATGGCAATGTTCCAAAGGTACACAGTGTTTCACTAAATACTATACTCAGTTCGGGCTCACTTACGTTCTGCAAATGTTGTTTAATTTCTGTATCAATGTATTCGGTAAGTTGCGCTCTATGTTGTAATAGTTGTTGTATTTCATTTGTATGCCGTTGGCGGAATAGAGTACGACATACATCTGATATCAGGGAATGGTTGTCGTTTGATTGGATTTGGTAAATCTGTAATGAAAATGCAGAATTCTTTTGTGTTAAATGCATGTTGGCAAATAGAACCAGTTAAACTACTAACTTGGTAATTATCATATACAAAATATAAACTAATAAACCTGATAACAACTAGACTAACAAAATAAGTAAAACATATCAAGTATTGGTTCAAACATGCTTTCAACTACACGCAGTTTAAAGGTTGTTTTCTTGTTTGTCTTCTTCTCAAACAAAACAAAAACTACTGATAAACAAGTCTCCAACAACAACAAGGTACGTTATTCAATTGATGTTTTTTTTAACAGAAGTAATTGTTATACCCTGCAGTTTTACATGTGAATTCCCTTTTCCAAAAAGAATGTTATTTTTTCTTAGAGAGAAACAGGCTTATTCGCAGAAAATATTCAACATAGAACCATGTTTTGGCATAGTTCACATATTTGCCTATTTAAGGTATTTTGAATGTATCCCTAATATGTATGTAAATTGGCCTTTCGATTTCTCTAGAAATATAAACCCCTTCTGGTATTAATTTTTTTCTGTAATTTTAATAATTAACAATTTTTCCAACTCTTCAGATATTAATTCACATTTCTTATTTTCCTACTTACCATTAGTGACGACGAGGACTGTTCATGTTTGGTGCCATTACTTCCCGTAGATACATGGCCGTTAGTAGTCAGCTTGGAACATCCGTTTGCGGTGGGTAAACAACCATTTGAATGATTATTAACACCATTCGTCGATTCATTTTTAGCCAAATACCAAATCGTATGTTGATCATCCAAATTTTTACTTTTCCAACCATCGGGACATTTTATTTTACACAAATTTATTGCTTTCGCATTGCTGAGCTCAGACGACTTTGTTGTTACCATTGAACGGGTATCATAAAAGCTAACACATTCTATATTCATATAGAGAGCATAGGTGAACAAACGTGTCAGCAGCTCCTCATTCACTTCGCCCTGGACTTCGGGTCCAATTATTAAATTAAGATGTTTGGGAATTTTACTCAGCTGCCGTTTACATTGTTTTAAGAAATCATGTTCCTTTTGTTGTCGTCTTGTTTGTGTTTGACACAGATCATATGACCATAAAGCAAACGCAATAATTCGTAAGCGCAACCACAGACAAACTTCATAGAGTGAACATAGAAAGTGCAGAATTTGCCACAGGCAACGATATATTCGCTTCACCAAACTGTTGTCCATTATTGATTTGAATGACTTAATAATTTTCGGAGGGGGAATGATGACAGTTCTAATAACAAATTACATGTTCCATGGAAATCTTATCTTGAGACAGTGTTTTTCCTTATCTTTAGCCCCCTCTCTGTACGTTGTCTGCTGTCGTTAACCTAATTGGGGGAAATTATGAATTACTTTATGGTTCTGTTGGGCGTAAAATCAACTTACTGCTTAAGGAATCGCCTACAAATATCGCTTAATTAATTCTATTGTAAAATAATAAAAGTTTTTTTCATTATAAATTTAAATTTCGCAGAGAAATCATTATATTGGCCGGTGAGAAGGTATTGACAACAAGTAATGACAGCTGAGAAACACGTCAGTTTGTGACAGCTGATACAATATTCCTTGGTTCTCTCATTCTCTAGCTTTCTTGATGATGGCAATGCCATGGCAATGAGAAAAATGTTAACGCAAATTACTGTAAAGTGATAACAGTGAAAATCAAATCACTGAAAACGATAACAGGACTACACTTCTAAATTGTGGTAAAAAACTTTGCTGTTTAGACTGGTACATGATCCAATAAACAGGCCGTGTCACAAGAAATCGTTATCGACAATTTTGGATTAAAACCTTCAAGCTGTCAAATTTTTGTTTACGCTTTCACACAATTAAGTCAAAATTGAAAGCATTTTGACAGCTTGTGTGAAATCATTTGGCCTTATCCAACGAACTTTTTATTGGGCCATGGACTAGTATAAATATGTTATAAAAGTGCGTTTAGTTTTACGAAATCCACTCGCTGTCGAATGTCAATTCCATAGCGTATACGTCAAATATAATCCATTGGATTTGTGAACGTGATTAAGGTGAAGTGTACGAATGGAATTGGCATTTGAAATCGAGTGGATTTAGTTGTCTAAACGAGGTCTAAATTTGCTATTATTTGTTAACGTATATTCGAACAATATTTGTTGGTTAATATTTTTATAATTCTAATAAGAATTGCTCTCCATCAGGTGAAAAATTATTATAATTTTTAAATAAATTTTAATTTTTTTGTAAATTTAAAATTGTATTTGCTTTAATTTATTTAAATTGTAAGGTTAACAAACGTATACGTCAAAAGAAATCTATATGAATATTTTAAGTAGTTCTCAACTTTTCTAGTAGTTCTCAACTTTTTTTATAACATACTAATTTAAATTATCATATTTTATTCTATGTTGTTTACTACTATATATTGAATATGTGATATTAATATACTTAATTGAGTAGTTAGTTACTTGCCAATTTTAAAAGTTTTGCTACTTTTTACTGAAAACCCGTTCCTGAACCCACAAAACTGGTAAAACATTGAATCAAATTTAAGAGAGCACAAAACAAAATGGCTGTCTCTTTGTACATATATTTTTTTTTTTTTTTTTTTTTGATTTTGAAGTATTGTCATATAATTTTGACACAATTTTTTTTACAATGTTTTCTCAATGTGGCTTCCTCAATCAAATTAAAATACATATTTTGTGTATGTGTGTGTATTGTTTTGAATACAATGTCAAATAAATTGAAAAAATAAAATAATTACTTTGTTATGGATGAAACAAAAATTTTATGGTATTCCCTACTGAATTTTGGAAAGAAATCATAACCTTTCAAATAAACACAAACACTTGTTGCGTATATTTATTTTATTTTTGGCAGAAGAGCCCACACGTGACTAGTTGCATTTTTGTTATTCACCCTACCTTGTATTATTGTACCATGGTAGTAGTCAATAAAAAACAAGGCAAATGACTCCCATGTAAACATGTGATCAGTTAATAAAATCAACGCCGACGTTTATCGACATTTTGCAAAAACCATTTGACGCCGTTATCAGACAACACATCGACTTCATTCTCTCATTCACATCAGTTTATTGCTCATATTTGTCGTTCGTGCAGTTGCATTTTATCTATCGATCCAAATAAATTCAAAGATTGTAAATTTAATATCTATATTTAATTGAGAAGACCGGTGAGTTTTTATTTTTGTTTTCTTTGTTAATATACCACAAATAATTCATAAAATATTGAAAAAAAACGGTGCAGTGAAAAGATTGAAATGGAGAAAAATGAAAAGAATCTGAAAATAGATTGGTGGGGGCAAGCAAATACATGGAAGAAGAAATGAAAAGCCGGCTATATTTTTGATATGTGTGCGTTGTATATAGATGCTCGGCGGGGGTAGGTGGGCTGTGTTTACGGGGAAGGTAACATGATTTGCAATGAAATGAAATTATTAATGGGTGGTGGCTGGTGATTTTGATTTGTTTTGCACAATTCAAAATGACAAACATTTTTAGATATTACCCCAAAACCGACGACGATATCACATCAAAAAGATAATAATATAGGGAAATGTTCTATTAATTTCCAAACCAATGAACCATCCATCCAACCAACCGGCTGTGTATCTATTGTGACAAAATTGGTATAATTTGCAAAAACAAAAAAAGTGATGATGATGATGGGAAAAACGAAGAAAAAAAAGGAAATGAAAAGAAAAATGTTACCAACGTAGGCGTTGTTGCTTTGGTAGATGAAAATTGAAAATTTATGTTGAATCCGTCGTAGCTTTGTCGTTGGCCGGTTTTCTCTCTCCCCCCATTGTCATGTTAATATGCTGATTTTGTTGTTGTGCTGTGTACCATATATACAACACAGATACTACGTAAATACACATAGCATACGGAGGTGGGTACTATGTATTTTTGTGTATATGGGCCAGCTGTTATTGTGCTTCTTTTCTTGAGAATAGAAAAAAATAATGTACTTGTACCATGTCATCGTTGTGGTTGTTTTTCTTGTTGTGGTATTATTTGCAAGGTACATATAACACTGTTTTTTTTGCCATGTCCGCCGCTCTCCACATTATTTATGTCTTCAGAGTTGGCCCTTAGATTTCTCCTGGCGTTCGTTCGTTCGCACACACACGAAACATAAACACGTCTATCTTTTCTGTGGTGGCTGGCTATGCTGTTGTTCTTGGGTAATGATCGTTGTGGATGCAGTGGTTTTCTAGTTCAATGTCGATAATGATGATGCTCTCTGAAAATAATAATGATGATGATTATGATGTTTGTTGTTGTTGTTGATGATGACTAGGTTTTACAAGGGGTGATGATGTGAAGATATAGTTGTTGCTTGGTGCTTATTGTTTGTTTATATATTGCTATGCTGGTGTTTTTTGCTTTATTTCATATTCACTGAACCAACCTTCTGTGACTCATAACATTTTGAGTTGAGTTGTTGTTTTATTTTAATAATCATTTATTTTTTAAACATTGAATTGAGATAACAACTTCTTTTTATTAAGACATAATATGAAAATGATGTACGTTTATTTTGCCTTTTTGAGGTTTCTGTACGATTTTCCATAGTTTTGAGCGGATGTTTGACGTCTGATTTTGGTTACAAACCCGGAAGAACAATGAAAAATTAACCTAGCTACAGCTGTGTTCATTAAATTAGTTGTTGTAGCAACTGTCTACATGTTTGTTGTACTTTCTATTATTCCGGTTCGGCCTCCAGGTTTAGAAAGGTTGCAATCTGCATCGCCAGCGTTCCAAGAGATTCTGTGGTCGTTCTTCTGCTGCTATAGGTTGGTGGGTGGACTCCATGTACTGCATTCACATAGTATTGGTCACTGCTTCCGTGTGAATGTCGGTAATTCCTGCTCGATAAACCTGATGATCTAGGCGGTCTCTTTTATACCGTTGGACCCCTCTCTCTAGATCATGTAGGTCTCTCCATACATGCCTGGGTGGAGGAATCCTATCTATAAGATGATGGCATGGATGATTCCTGCGATGAACCACACTGGCGCCGCATAACTTACCACCGAACGACCTATTGCTTTGTAGGAGGTCAACAAGGTCTCTTTATCAGCACCCCAAGAGCTGCCGGCAAGCGAATTGAGGACCTTGTTCCTGCTTCTCATCTTATCGCAAATAGTGGAATTTCAGAAAGGTAGAGGTTAAACAGTTCCGGAGATATGACCCCACCTTGGCGAACTCCCTGTTTCACTGTACGGGTTTTAGACTTCTTGTTTCTGAATTCCACATATGACACATGTAATTGATTATCCAACGTAGGTTGGTCTTCTCCATGTCTTCGAGACACCAAGACTGTCCTGTTCGACGGCCTGTCCTGATTAATGTGTTAAAAAATGCTATGGTTCCCTTTGCTGAAGAAAATATACCGCTTGTTTGGGTGCTTCAGCTTGACAATAATATCCAAATATACACCAAAACATGACTTACAAAGCTATAGGTCGGTTTGTGGCAAGCTATGCGGTTCCAGTGTGGTCTGCGAACACTAGTGATACACAATGGGGAAGTATTCATACATGTCAGAACGCCATCCTGAGGACGGCGACAGGTGCCTCCTCATGTCACTAGTGGACCATCTTCAGGACCTTCGTCTCCTCCCTTACGTCAGCCTAGCAATATGTTTCGTTGCAGTACCTACTCGGGTGCTTCAGGGACAATCTTCCCAACCATCATATGGTGGATAAGACTCCCTCACCCAGGCGTGTCAGGAAGGATCTGCATGATCTAGAGAGTGAGTGGTTCAACGTTACAAAAGGGAGCCTCTAGATCAAGTTGCCTATCGAGCAGGTCTGAATAGCAGTCATACTGATGCAATAACCGCAGCGCTGAACGGATACAGATTGAATTCCGTCCTCGGAGCTCACCCACCACATATAGCCGCTGAAGAACGTCCGCTGCCCAGACAAACCAGAGTCGTTTTGGGCCAATTACGTTCAGGATAGTGTAGTCGTTTTGGGCACGGATTGATGACCAGGTGCAGAATGTCTGCCCAGCATGTGGTACGGGCCCTCATACCACACTGCACTTATTCTTATTCTTACTCCTGAAGATCTGTGGTTGCCGCCAGTGGAAGCAGCTGCATTTCTTAACTTGGAGACAGAACCAGATTGAATTTAAACAGGAAAACTATATTCATATAAACTGCTAC